ACACCAACAGAAATTAATATAGTTGATGCAATTGGGAAAGATAGATTGATGAATCTCGTGAGAGAAATTAATTGACATGTCCAAAGGAGGCCTTGGGGGTTGCTCACTGGTCCCCTCTAACAAAACACATGCTTTCGTTTTCCCAGTGCAAGTGTGTTGTGAAGATACAAACTATGCTTTTCCAGTTACCGGTGTGCGCATGCAACTACACCTTTTTTATCCTTAACATACAATCAACTAATCTAAGTCTTCCCATAAATATTACGACTATAATTACTAAGATTTATTTTATTTTAGTTTTCCAACAAAGTATTAGTCTTTGTCCGTTTTGGTCCATGTAGCTATAGCTTCCATGAGAGATCGAGACAGGATGTCTCTTTCCCTCTCTTTTAGGGTTTGCTTGGCCTGCAGTTTTTTTATAGAAGTGTTGTTTTGGTAGATGTAATTTGTAAAAGTGCGGATTTAAGAGTTTATCAGAAAAATATATATATATATATTTTAGAGATAAAAAATATTAATTATACAATTTAAATCATTAAATGAACGGAGGAATTGTAAATATGGAGAACTATCTCTCCACCTAACCCTTTTTATTTTACAATTCGAATGGCAGGATTCTCTTCTAAAAGTTTCAGGCCTTGTAGTTTCAGCTACTAACTATATTTTAATACTTACTGTTGATTTGAGGGGGGAAAAAAAAACATGTAGATACTATTTTCATTTTGAAACAATTTCCATTTTTTTAAAACAAATTTAGCATTTAGTTTGAATTTAGTCTAAATTAATTCCAAAAAATGACAATTACGGAGTATTTTATTAAAACAGAGAGTATAATTAAAAAATTTATTTTACTATGATAGGTTGAATGTTGGATAGATACATACTACAGTACTCAATTACATGAAGGATAATTTTTTATGGATTAAATAAAAGCCATTTATTTGTACCAAAAGTCCCGCACTCGGTGGCCTAATGGCCACTCTTTGCAGGGATGTGTGTAGGATTAAAAGAACTTAGAATCAAATCTCAAGTCCCCCATTTCCTTTTTCCCCAAAAAAAGATTTTATAATGTTCAAAAAAAAAATTTATTCACAACAGCAGAGGTATCCTGGTGGCAAATGGGTTGGTAACCCTCTGTGAGGCCTGGTGTTCGAAACCAGATCTGTTTTTATTATCGGATGCTGGTCTAATTGATTCAACCAGTCGATTAAGTTTGGTTTTCAAAACAATATTTAATGTTATCGTACGATTTAAATTTAAAATTTTTTATTTTTAATAAAAATATATTATTATTAAGTTATTTAAGTTATTGGTTTAGTTTCCTTATTAGTTATTCAAGTTTTAGTCACGGCCAAAAGTGGAAGACTAGTAATTTTTTAGTTCTTCTAGTCTATGCTCTGTACCAGATTAGTGTATGTTATGGGTTTTGAGAGGATAATAATGATGACTTAAAATCGATAAAAGTAATTATAACTTACAAAGAAATTAGAGGGAACAAATAGTATTGTCAACGTCATATCTACTTTTTATTTGGAAATGATATTTACCTTCAAAAAATTTAAAAATTTATCTTGAAGTTGTAAAAAATTAAAATGTTTAAATAATTAAAATATTAAAAATAATTTTTAAAAAAAATTTAAATATTTTAAATAAATTAACATATAAAAATATATAAAAATATTTAAATAATTTCATAAATTATATGAATTAAAATATCTAAATTTTCACTTTTTTTCGTTTCTCTTTAGTAACAATCATGGTAACTTTAAGTTAAAATTGATAAAAATATAAAAAATAAAAATTAGAGACTACATTTTACCTTCTCTTTTCTTTGACAATAGGTTCAAAGAAGACTTGTTTAATTTAAAGATTGCTCGCGACAAATTTCCATTTTACGTATTCCTTGACATGAAAATTGAACCTAATTTTATGCATATGTGTATTAAGTATAGAGTATGTGTTTGTTTGCATTTATTACAAATTCCATTATACCCTCTAACTGCTATCCAAGCACTTCAAACTTATAAGCACAAAAATGAGAAGCATGAATGGTAAAGGTGAGGTTGGAAATTATAAGATCACAAAAATTATTGCTTCAAACATTTTCTAAATGGAAAATGTAAAAAATTTCCCCTGCAATGGCATTTAGACAAATTGAACCATAGGCTAGTAAGAATGAAGAAGCAAAGGAATGCATTATAAAAGGATATCATTTCTACCATTCTTTAACTGATCATAAGAATGACAAAAGCTAATTATAAATAGTCTAAATGAAGAATGTTATGGATCCAAAGAATTATGGTACACAAACCTTGATCGGGTCTGTGCTCAGACAAGCATTCCATCTATTGGTAGGACCCCCTGACAAGAATGTCAATGCCAAAGTTTCATGCAGAAGCCAGCAGGAACAACAGATGATCTCTTGTTTGAGATACAATCCGAAAAGGTATCCACAAGCTGTTCTGCAAGAGACGCCGGATCCCCCTTAAAGGTGTCAACAAAGACCTTCACAACCCTGACCTCCTGTGGAGTTGCTCTCAAGCTGTACCAGGTCAGGAACTTCTGCCTGAAATTCTTCTCTATGTGGCCTTCACACTCTAACCATCTAATCACCTTCACATAACGCTCAAAATCACAATCTGACATGCCATTGGCCATGCACTCTTCATCCCTCCTTTCCCCATTTCTCTTCTTTGATGAACTTCCATCTTGAGGCTCCTTTTCTTTCCCAGTCCCATTCTCTGCATCCTTGCTGCTGGATTTTGATCTCCCACTCCTTCCTTGCCCATCTTTAGATATTTCTAACCTGCAGGGAGTAATGGGCAAGCCAGCTTCTGAGCAACCCATGTAAGGCACACATTCCAAGCCAGTCTGAACTGGGGCGTCAGACCCATTATCAGTGCTCATGTCCTCAGTCATATGGCCCTCTAGCACATGTTTTTTCTCAACCTTCAGGACATCAGAGTCAGGTATAGAACCAGCTACCTCCATGGCATGCTCCTCTCCCAAAAGAGAAACTGCATCTGGCGGGTTTCCATCTTCACATAGGATAATGCAGTTGTTAGCACCAGTAGATAGATTTATGGAAACAGATTTATTAACCTCCTTGCAATAACTATGATAATTGTCTGCTCGGTCATCGTTCTGATCACTATAAGGAGTACTATTATTAGTTTCATCTTCTACTGAAGATGGATTAGAAAGGCTGCTACAATTGGTAGTTGGGCTGTGACTCCTTTCCGTTACTGAGCAGTTTGGGACTTCAACCCCTCTACTGGCTGTTGAGAACTGAACTTCACATTTACCCAGCTCCCTTGTACTGTTAAAATGAAGAATTTTAAAATGATACTCAGTAGCTGGAGTGAGTCCTGTCACAACAAACCTTGTGTTAGGTGCAAAAAGGGTACAAGTTGATTTCACTGGATAATCCCTGTCATGAGCCTTCCGATACCATAAGGTGTAACCCAAAATACCGGCCCCTGAAGGTTCTTCAGAACCCAAAATCACAGTAAGAGATGTTGGTTGAACATCTTCAAAGCGTACCAATGGTGGTGCAGTTGGATTTGAATCTGGAGATGTTAGAGAACAAATTGACATCATTTAAAGGGAAAAACAAATGTTTAACGTATCAACATGAATTGTTATGATGTTTACTAGAAATTTTCACACATATTTTCACTTCATGCCAGGAAGTTGGGATAATGTTCTACGGTGACGCAGGATTAATGATTGAACACTATTAGCAGCAAATTATCATGTTGAGACTAAGGTAAAGATTTACCTTGTATGATAGTATTGGGTGAAGAATGCACACCAGTGTCAGAAAGCATTTTGTCCAGTGTCTCCACAGCAAGAGAACAGAGTTTTTGAACTTCTGGTCCAGAAGAAAGCCTGTTAACAATTCCCCTACCCATTTTCACTGGTATACCGGTTAGTGGGCCTACTTCAGCTTCAAGCTTCTTAACAGCTTCATCCACAATTTCATAAAGCTTTTGGTACTTTTGAGTCCCATTAATAAGTTTTCGGCCCAAGGACATGCGATAACAGAGAATGTCTACCCTTCTAGTCTCCTTTGCAACTATCAGTTGTTTTCTCCAGCAACTAGATGCATTAAAAACCAACTGCAATCAGAGTCTGTTTTCACCTTATATACATAAACACTAACATGTAATGTGATCAATGTTGCATTACTAGTATTAGAGACATATTCGCATGCTAACCCCTGCTAATAGCATTCTTAGATAGTGGTAGAGAACTCAATTACTCGTATAAACTTCAAAACGAAAAAAAAAAAGAAAAATACAAATTTACCATTTCAATTACTTGGAGAAACCAACCACAAATAATAGGGTAAGGATCAGGAGCCAACACTCTATAAATAAAACTTACATACAACAAAAAGAAGAAGAAGAAGAAGAAGAAGAAGAAAACTAAGAAAGGTAAAATGAAAGATATAATAGCAAGAAGTACTCACCCAAGTAAATCATTTATTTTTCCACATGCAGGTGCAGCACAATAAAAGCTCCCATCAATTCCTGCATGCCGTCTATCTTTCCCAATTCCAGAATTTTGATGCTTTAAAGCACACTCAAGATGGCATGACATACCACAAGAATTGCCTTGAAATGGAGGCTCTGAGCTACAAATTAACCAGAGGCTAGGATCCTTATTGTCATCATACTGATAACATATGCAGCATGAGCACCTCTTGCAAAATGCATCCTCTCGTCTCATTGTAGCTTTACAAGCAGAGTTTTTGCAATAGGTAGTATTATTCATTTCATTTCCACCATTACCAGTTGCAACATCATTCACTGGAACAGGCAGTCTAGAAGGATTATCAGCTTTCCTCTGCCTTTTGGATGCTTTCTGACCAACTGAAGGAGAAGACTGTGTTTCAAGGTCTGATAAGATCTCATGTTCCTCTGACTTCTTTTCAGCTACTATTTTTAGAAGATTTTCTATAATTCTCATCTTTGTCAAGCCAGTGTATTTCCTCTCCTTTCCCATCTCTGCACATAGAATCTGTAAAATATCCTGTCGGCTCCATGACTGTAGCAATTCAGAGGCCGGATATGATCTCTTTGATAGTTCATACACAAGTTCTCTCTTTTCATCCACACTCATCTTACTACATTTTGATGGATCAAGTGGAACTCCTAGGAGGAAAAGAAAACTGCACCTTAATATATGGAAGGAAGAGAAGGGTCCAACAAAAAAAGCAGAGTATTTTATTATGTTCATTAAATTCTGGGGAAAAAAAAGGTTGGAATGAAAAACAAATAGAATGATCATAAAACTAAAAATCATCAACATTCTTAAGCATTAATATCCTTGACCGATGACCATGACATGCAACAATGGAAAAGAACCAAAGGATGATGACACTAGGAACAAGAACACTTACGCTGCTACCATATACACAAGCAATCAATAATAATATGAATGAGTTAAGAAAGCACCACCATGATTCCCAAGTCCCAACCTATTTACAATTTAATGGTTGACTTTCATTAAAAAGTACATTCCAACTACATAAAAAAAAGAAAAAAAAAAATTGACAATTTACAGAACAATCCAATAAAGCTAGGCACAGGAGCTCATCATAACTCAGATAACTAATATGTTGAAACCAATATCATTTGACTTCAAAATATGCCCTCTGGCTCTCAACTGTCATCTAGCTACCACATGGATCTTGCTTGTCGAATACAATCTTATACAATAAGCTAACCATTCCGCAATTGCAGCAATATAATATCTGGGGAATATTGTCCAATCAAACGCAGGAAACCAACTCAGAAACTACCCACCGGGAAAAATTTCCAAGAACCAGTACTAGAATGCAGAACAAGATCAAAGCAAGGATAATCTCAAACTCCAAATATTTCCAGAAACAGAAAGCATTCTTATGAGAGAACAAAGAAAGCATCAATATTGATTGATACCCATAAAAGCCCTACAACTCAAACCAACATCCAGAGCATCAAAAACACTGATAACATAATACTGAAACAAGTTGACCACCAAGAGAATTACTAGTTCCCCAAAAGATCTGACTTCTAGACATTCAATAAACTGAGAACGAAACGGGCATTCAACGCATAAATTATTAATCTTTCATAAATCACAACCAATACAGAGTACAACGCAGAAAATGAATCCCAAATTATATTCACAAAAATAAAAAAAGAAATTACCCTCAGAAGAAGAATCCATAGCGACCGTAGTTTAATAAGATAGTACCCAACTCACCCACATTACCATCAAAACCCCAACTTTTTTTTCTACCCTGAAAAAGAGAGAAAGATCCCATTCAGAAAACACCAATCAGAAACAGAGAAAATGAGAATAAATAAATAAATAAATAAATAAAATACCCAATATAAGAAAATAAATAAAATAAAGAAATAAACCCAGAAAAAGAGAAGATGTGATTATGATGGGAGAGACTAAAAGAAAAGATGAAAGAATAAGTATAACAAATACCAAGAAAGGAAGCTTGAAATTCTGGCAGTGCCACAACAGAAGAATCCATGAATTGTGAAGCCCCCTATTCCTTGTGTGTGTGTATGCATAAAGAATATAGATTGTTGTGTTGGTATGGGTCCTCTTTGTGGGGTTTTCCTTTCAGGAGCCGAAGCTGTGGTGCGAGAGAAGATTCGAGGAGGACTTGTTCTGAGAGGAGAGAGAGAGAGAGAGAGAGAGAGAGAGAGAGAGTCAGTCTTTAAGATGAGAGCTCTGTTGAAGGGGCGAAAGCGGCTGCATGTCACTTTTTCACCCTCTTTCCCCCCCACATGTTTACTTCTTTTCTATTGGTTTATTTTACTATTTTATTTTATTTTATTTTGCCAACCTTTTTTTGTTTTGGTTAAACCCCATTTTAGTCCCTCAATTATTGTATGGACCTCAAATTGAGTCCCTAAACTCAAAAAATTCTTAATTTAATTCTTACTGTTTATCATTTTGACCCAATTGGGTCCTTCTGTTAAGAATTAAGTGACCGTGTCTCATTAATTAACAGAAGCATGATGACATGTCGAATATTAGATACACCTGGCAAGACAGCATGGCAAAAAAATAATGATATGGCCAAAAAACTAAAAAAATATTCTATTTTCGTCTTTCCCTTTCTCCTCCTCCTTCATTGCCTTGCCTTCTACAATCTAACCCCCCCACCCCACCCCACAATGAAACCTGCAATTTCATCCTTTCATTTTCTTTCTCTCTCTATCCCTCCCTCAACACCAGATTTGGACATTTTCCCTTCCAATTTCTCTCTCTTGCTGGGTTCGAAAGAAACCCACTAGAGAGAACAAAGGAATCCGCCTCAAGATCAATCAGAAAATGCCCGAATTCTAATAAACGCACAAAATCACAGATCCCCAACAAACCCGCACCAGAACCAACAAATCCCTCCTAGATCCATACCAACACCCAGAAATTACCACCAAAACAACAAGAATCAACGAACCCATTAACATTTACCACCCAATACAGAAGCAAAATAGTTACCTCTTGCTCAGACAAGGGCTTGCACTGCATGAGCTGATCAATCTGCTCGTCCAGGTTCCCATGAGAATTCGACGGCACCGAATACAAACTCATCTTTTTGTCTCCCCCTTCTCAACCCTTTCCTCTGGTTCTTGCCAGATCAAACCCCCAAATTCCGTCACTGCAAAAACCCTAGATTTCGAAGAAAACTTGTATAACCAGAGATTGAAACCCTAAATTTCCAGAATTTCTAGTGAGAAAACGGTGGTGAAGAGCCCAATGTCTTTCTCTTTCTATTCCGATCAATCGCTCACTTCTTTTTAACCAAAAAAAAAAGAAAGAAATGAAGCCCAGCAGCTTTAAGAACCCAGCAGATCTGGAAGAGAAAGGGGTGAGGAAAGTCAAGGGAAAGAAAGATGAATTGATTTGGTGAGGAAATTCGAAGGTGGTTTCAGGTGTTAGGATTTACAGGAGCAAAAGGAAGGAAGATGAAAAAGGAAACGGGAAAAAGAAGAAAAAACCAAAAAAAGGGAATTTCTTAATGTTTTAACAGGAAAGAGGAAAAAAAGAGAGAAAAAAAAAATTTTTTTTGCCATGTCGTTCATTTATCCATGCTGTAAAATCTATGTGTCCAAAATTTGTTGACCTGTCATTCTTTTACCGTTAATTAACATGCCAAATTCAGGCTAAGATGGGAACAATAGGGATCAAATCAGAAAGTTTTTGAGTTGGAGGACTCAATCAAGGCCCGTATAATGGTTGAGGGACCAAAAATGAAGGTTTAACCTTTTGTTTTTGTTTTTGTTGTTGTTTTTGTTTTTGTTTATTTATTTATTTATTTTATTTAACCTTTTTTTTTATAATTTATTTATCAAATCAAACACATCCATTTTTTCCTCTCTTTTTCAACGGAAATTTATAGTTGTTTTTTTCTTCTTTTTTTTTTTTCTTTTACCTATTAGCAGTTGTCTACATGTAGCAGGTAGATAAGGAAAATACGACAACTGATTTTTATTGTTTGGGAATAATGTAATATTAATTCTTGACTTTAATTAAAAAATTAAAGCCCAACTTTAAAAGAATTGCAGTTTAATAAATATTTTTAAAATTAATAGTTAAATATAGTACTCTATTTATATAAATTTTATATATTATTTTATAAATTTATTTATTTTATAAATTTTAAACCTATTAGACTTATATGTTAAAAATATAAATGTTTTGATTAAATAATTATAAATATTATATTAATTTAAAAATTAATACATAAGATTCATATTAATAAAATATTAAATTTAAAAATTAATTTTTAAAAATATTTATTAAAATATCATATTTATAAAGTTAAGATTTTAATTTTTTAATAAAAATTAAAAGTAATATGTATTATTTTCCTATTAATGATCTATTAGTTCGAATAGAAGAAATTTGATTTCTCTTAAACAAGATTTCGAGTTTGAATCTTATAAATGAAAAGACAGGCGTTAATGAGATCTGATACTATTCGATTTTGAATTAGTTAAGATTTAATGTAATTATCGGATACTGAAAAATTAATAAAAAAATAATATGTACTCTTTTCCTTCTCTATTTCTATTTATATTCTAAAATTTTATTAATTCATTTAAAAGATTAAGACAGCTAACTTCTAATTTTAAAAACTGTGACTTATTTATAAAAAGTATTATTATTTACCATTTAGGTATTGATGGGATTTCTTTAACAATACTCCACACATTTTTTGCTTAATATTAAAAGTCAACTTTGGTTTTGGTAGAATGAAGGGGAGGTGAAATTATTTTGACTAATCAAATTTTATAGTTAATATTTTTTTCATTTCACTTCTCTCAAATCAAAAAAAGTTTTAATTATATTTATTTTTATTTTGTTTGTTAAATTAACATTATTGATTAATTTTTTATTTTAAATTACATAATAAGAGAATAATTTTCTTACCTAACTTAAACCACTTTACATACATACTAACTATATCTAGTTTCACTTCTCCACATAATTAAAAAATGTTATAATTTAATTAATCAAAAAATCACTTTCTCCCTTCTTTTTCATTATACTCAACCTCAATATACTTTAGCAACTCAGATTCAAAAACATTTATTTTTATTGAAAATAAATTGTCATTTAATATTTAAGTTATAGATGATTTTATTGACTAATTCTCCCCTTAACCACATATATATATATACCATAAACCGAAGACCAGTATTAGAAATTAATTATGTATGCACAATTCATATTTAAACTCTAAATTGACCTCGTTCCCCTAACCAAACCCTTATAAGCAAATAACAAATTACTACAACTTTCAAGATCTCGAGCAATATCTTAATCACAAACGTCTCGTTAACAGAATCTATGCATTCTTTCTTTTATGGAAGATGGAATAGTGCATACATGATATATTACATATAGAAGTCTATGCTATGCATTACATATACATTACACAGTGCTCTAGATGTTACGATATTCGTGAAGCAAGAACTCTTTAATGCACACAAGAAATTAATAAATAGAAATAAATATATACAGACACCAGAATTTAATATATATAAACGTACGAAATTAGTGGTACAAAAGGAAGTTTCTGTTTTAGCCAAGGGTACAATAGAAAATTTAATATATTGGATTGACACTGTTATTCCAGCACCTTTATTTACTTATTTTTACCTTTGATTATAAATTATGATATATAGAGAATTTTTTTTTATAATTTTTTTACTTAACATTTATATGTTATTAAATAAATATATATATATAATATTATAAATTTTAATATATTGGATTGACACTGTTATTCCAGCACTTTACTTATTTTTACCTTTGATTATAAATTATGATATATAGAGAATTTTTTTTTATAATTTTTTTACTTAACATTTATATGTTATTAAATAAATA